TGGGTCGTTTTTGGTGTGGAAGTAGATTGTGGAAAGCTGTGGCGAGGGAGGTTGCCGGGAGCTCCGAGAGCAGGTCCGAGGACGAATTATAAGTCGTTGGTGGTTGGTGTGGAATTGTGGTGGACAGGAGTGGCGGGACAGATTGATGGGAGCCTTGAAAGTGAGCCTCTGGAGTTGGATTCGGTGGGGTCAAACGGCTTCAAATGGCTTGACTGGACAAAGACAGGAAGAGGATTTTTGCTGCCGTCAGAAAGCGACGTGCGGAAGTGAAAGAGCAGCTCCAAGACGAATTTTCCGTCGTTTATGGGGTCACATGCCAGCCAACAAAATGCTGAACAAGCCCAAGCATCGGTCTGTGGTGCCCATTGGCGGGGCACTTCACGACATGGTTGGGCGGCGTCGCAAATGCAGCAGCGCCGCATGGCACTACCATGCAGCAGTTTGAAGAACCCTATAGACTATCCCATATGGGTACCGCAGTGGGATCCTATAAGGTCACTGAACCTGGCAAGGGAGATTGCCGGGAGCTCCGAGAGCAGGTCCGAGGATGAAGCGGAGGTGAGGTTTGGGCCTCGAGAATGGCTCCTGGAAGAGGAGAGATCTTTACGGCCATCAGAAAGCAACGTTTGGAACTCTGAGCAAATTTGTTTGGTTAGTTTTGGTGTGGAATTAGATGGTGGACAGAGTGTGGCGGGACAGATTGGCGGGAGCCTTGAAAGTGAGCCTCTGGAGTTGGATTCGGTGTGGTCAAACGGTTTCTGGACGAGGACAGGAAAAGGATTTTTACTGCCGTCAGAAAGCGACGTTTGGAAGTGAGAGAGGAGCTCCAAGGACGAATTTTCAGCCGTTTTTGGGGTGGAATTAGATTGCGGAAAGCTGTGGCGAGGCAGATTGCCGGGAGCTCCGAGAGCAGGTCGGAGGACGAATTATAAGTCGTTGGCATGGTTCGGCCATTGATCCAGTAGAGCAAAAAGATGTGCCCCCCTAAAATCCATGGAGATGCATTCATGTATTCATATGTTTCTTTGATGAGATTTTGGATTTGAGGTAAAATATTGAAATTCGGATTTGGATTTGAGATTTTGGATTTTGGGTTTAATGAGAGGTCAAAGAATTGTTCTCACACTGGTTGTATATAACTTGTTGGAGCAGGAGGGATCTTCAACAGTACTCCTGGAGATTCGACATCCAGGAGTTTGATCCTACCATGGACTTTGCCTCTGCCAGTTCCGGCGACTTTGACCGGGATGGTCAACTCCACGGAGATGCAAACAACCTCCTTCCTGCCCCTCGACTCCAGCCCTCCAGCGTGGAGTCTCTGCTTTCTGTGCTCCAGGCGCACGCCCCCACATGGGCTCAACATCGCCCCAAAACCGCCCCACCCATCTCAACAACAAGCACCCCAACCACGACTACGACAACCCACCACAACAACAACAACAACCACAACAACAACCACCACCACCACCAGCAGCAGCAGCAGCACCACCACCACCACAACCACAACCACAACAACGACCTACAAGCGCAGGCTTTAAGTCACATCAGCCGGCGAAAAGTCACATCACCCCATGGCACACCGCATTGGAAGGAAGTCACATCAGGTGGAAAGAAGTCACATCAAAACATGTAAACCCCAGTGGCGCAAGTCTTTAGAAAGAAGAAAATTGCTCAAAACCTTGCCCATACTGTGGAATTTGCTATTACTGAGTATGTTTTGTCAGGTTATTGCTGTGTGAATCCCACTGTCACATCCATCATGCGCACGTATGATTGCAAAGAAGTTGCTCATCTCCTGATGCAACTTCTGTCGTCAACTTTAGTCACGTCATCAGGTGACTGGAAATGATCCGCATGGAGGTGCCCGATGCGATCGGGTCACATTAGGGTCACACCAGGTTCCTTTCTACAAGGCGCATACTCTTTCGCACCGATTGCCAGAAAGTTTAGGTATTGTATCGCGGCAGCAGCAGCCAAGCAGCAGCAGCAGCAGCAGCAGCAGGAGGATATGGTGGTTCTAGGCGAGGCCCAGGCGAGGTCCAAGGCAGCACATCCCAGCCAAAGCACCATGCCAAGCCCAGAAGCACCCAAGCTCCACAGTGCACATGGCCACATGCCCAAGATCCAAAGTGCACACAGCAGCACCCTGCAGCGGCACCAGCACCCAAGCTCTCAAGCGCACACAGCAGCGGCACTCTGCAACGCGCCAGCACCCAAGCTCCCCAGCGCACCCTGCGGCGGCACCAGCGCCCAAGCTCGAGCACGCAAACACGCAGCTCTTCCTACACTGGAACAACAGCGGCACCCTGCAGAGGCACCAGCACCCACGCTTGAAAACGCACACATGCAGCTCTTCCTATACTTGAATGAAGTAAGAACCCTAATAGCTCATGCTGTCTGTTGAAACACATTCTGCAATGATGCAACAAGGTTGTTGAATCTATCACACAAGCAAGCAACGCATGGGCGCAGCATGTTAACATCAGTTTGTAGAACAAATAGAACAACAACAAACATCCATAAGTAAGCCACTCCCCAAGGGCACACCATTTTGATACGATTTTCCTCCAGTTGATACGACTTAAAGCGAGGCCCCGGTACCACAACCACACCCGCAACCACATCCACGCCTGCAACCACCTCCATCGCAACCACGCCCACCACCGCACCCACAGCCACAACCTAATCTACCACGACCACAACCACCACCACCGCCACGGCTACAACCACCAAAACCACAGCCACCACAACTACCGCCACCACCCCCCACCACCACAACCCCTACACCAACGACGACCGCCCCCTCCTCCCCAGAGGTGGGCCCCTGGCCGGCTGTCGGGCGTAAGCCCTTGAATAATATATCTGCCCCGTCCAAACCTGGCATCACTGGTCGCTATGGCTCAAAAGCCCCAGTCGAGTGGTCTTTGACTGAATTTCATAGTTGAAGAATAAGGGGGATGTTACTGAGTAAAGTGGCCAAATGTTCCATCAGCAAATGTTCTGATGTTCTTGTTGAATCTCTATTCCTCTCACAGATTGAGCACTTCACAGCGAGAACGTGCCCTGTTGGCCTCAGCCTCACCATAAACCTCGTCATTGCTTTGATTTTAGCATCAGGTTACGTATCCTCCTATGTCTGCTCTTGCTTATATTTCTTGAGCAACTTGCCTGAGCCTTTCTCTCGCCTGCTCATGAAATTTTACAAAGCCATCTTCCCGATCCCTTTTTTATCTGTCGTCCCATTCAACGATAACTCTTTGGCCGATGTCGCCCCTGGGTAGAGGAGGATCGCCTTGTTTACCTCAACAGGGGAAAACCGCTGTGGCACCAAACAGTTACACGACATTGTGCTTCCAGTTCCTGAGCAAACTTAGGCAGGAACATGCATGGCTCGCATCTTGACTCACCAATTGAGGATAGAGCGGCGCAGATGGAAGTTCTCCCCAAATCACTTCTGGAGCTGAGGCCTTCCATGTAGGTTCTGGGACGATGGGCTCATTTTCATTCTCTTTGAATTCAGGCAGTGACGGCCATCGGATGGGCTCTTCAGCTGGCCACACGGCCGCTTCATCTTGCCACACGGGCGCTTCATCTTGCCACACGGGCTCTTCAAGCGCCGGGGGTTGTTTCACACCCTCTGGATCAAGGACGACCTTCATCAAGGAAAGTGCTGGCTGGGTTCCACCAATTGGATCATGGCGAACGGGGCTGCCATCCCTTCGTTCAGGTCCTCCTCCCGCCCTTTGGGCCCGTTCGTACTCCCGCCGGTCGTCTCTCGAAAGGGCCAGCCGTTGGATGAGCTGTGCCACCCGGGGGGCTAAAGGTGCACCGGTCAGGGGAGCTTCTCCAGGTTGGGCATGCCTGGGAAATCAACGAAAGCGATAGACATATCTAGACATATCTAGACATATCTAGACATATTCTAGCAAGCCGTTCAACAGAAACGTGGATGGGACACATGACGTTACAACCGGCACATGCAGTTTAAATTCCCGCAATTCAGTGAATTCAGTGTTGTTGTTGGCTGAACGCCGCCAAAAGCAATGCCAAAAGACACCTTCCTTTCATCCAAAAAAACTTACAAATACAGTCAAACATGCCATCATCTGATCTTTCTCACAGGTCTAGGTCAAAACATTTTGAATACAATCAGGTGAAACAAAAAGCATATTACCTTGAGGCAAGATGCTCAACTGACCAAGTGAAATCAGCAGGATCGTTCTGCAGGTCAGGCTGCGGTGCAAACGTTGGAACCTCTGAAGGCTGGCCTGGCCACTCATCCTTTGGAGGCTCATCTTCAGGGTTTGCTGGAAGCCATTGGAAACCCCACAAGCGAAACACAGCAGGCCAGCGACAAGACACTCCGGAAACTAACAAAATAACGGATTGAATAACGAAACAAGCAATATCCAAAAAACATCCTTTTGCTTGTTTGGTTGTTTTCAGTCTTCAATCCGGCTGAGGGAAGAATATTTCAATTGTGCCTTGCCTGGACGCTGTGGGGCCGACGGAATCGCGTCACTCATTGCCTCCGTTCTCCGTTCGCGCCCACGTTCGGCAAGATAAAGATCCCACAACCTGATGACGCGGGACAGTTTTGATTCAGTGTTCCGGAAAGCACTGGGGGATGCCCAAAAAAAACGGTTTCTCACGCACACGCGAAAAACCCGCCACTCATGACATCTAAATTGCATGAAATTCCCCCCCAAAAGAAGAACTGAGACAAGTGACAAGCTCTCGGCTTCAAGCTCAGCTTGAATGATGGTCTCAAGAGCTGGAGCCTTAGCTCCACCGGACTCACCTGTTGCGGTTTCACCAGTTCTGGGCCCTCCCAGTTGTGTCGTTGAATCCAGAATCCGCAGAGCTTGACGCCTCTTGGATGCCACTCGGTGCAGTTGAGCCTGGCAAGTGGAAATGGCGGACTGAAGCTCTTGTCGCTGCGAGTCCTGAGTGTGTCGGTGTGAGCCCAAAGCTAAACGACACGATAAACCACCTAGTAGCTTCTTGCTACTAGTAGCGATGGCCTCCGCCCTAATAGGGATGTCCGCCACCTATATACCAGCTTCTTGCTGGACATATTAATAAGGTTTGGTCTAGGCGACAACATTGGTGGCGGGTTCTCAAACCTAGCACTGCAATGCATGGAATAGTGAGATCTCTCTCATTCTCTTTCTCCCTCTCTCTCTCTTTCTGTCTATCCTCGTGATTTTGAGTCTTGTCACCTGTACATGCTTCGTCCATTTCGTCCATTCTGTGTGGCCGGCAACTCTTTTCTTCGCACTTTTGGAAGAAAAGGACGCCCCAAAAGAATATGAATAAAGATGTGGCAAGATTCCAGCTTCAAGAGCTGATCATGGACCCTAGATGCAGTTTCAGGCTGATCGCTTTGATTGCAAAGCTGTGACCACAGCACCTTCCGACGCTCTCCCGCTGCAAGCAGCATGGACCCTTGGATTCGGAAACGCTCAAGAGAAGAGACAAAAGAAGATTTGAGCTCAAGCAGGAAACCTATCTAAGTCCAGCTAAGTCCTACCATTCAACCAAAAAAGTTGCACTTGTCACCCAAGGGCGTTGTCGTTCATCACAGGACTGCGCCTTCAACCTGAGGCCCTTGATTCGATCCAGTCGTTGGCGAGCTTCCTGTGACAGAGCAGCCCAACGCCGAGTACACGCAGCCTGCAGGGGCAACACGAAACCCTTTTCACTCCAGGCCCCCCAGCATGGGCAGGTCACTGGCTCCGGAAACGGCTCAACATGGACTCTTTGGTTGAAAGCACACACTACACCTGCCGTGCATGCACATGCATCTAAGATGTGATTCTTGACGCTTGTGGTCTCAAAGTGAAGGGTTGGCTTTGGTTTACTTGGCACGATGGGTTATAGACGCTCTGCCAAAAAAAGAAAGCAATACGGCAATATATGTATATATATATATATCAGAATGATATACCTAAATGTTTTCTCTGGAATGTTCTGGAACAAAGCACGTCACGCTAAAGTACACTTGCCCATCCCTTCTCCTCTGATCGTTGCAACTCGGCAATCGTCCGCTCTCCCCTGATCAAAGCACTCAGCACCTGATGAGGCCGGGCACCATAAACAATTGAAGTGGTGTTCATGAACATTCAACCCTCAAAAAACAATGTACAGCCCGCATCATAAAGCTCAATCTTTCAAGAGAGGCGCTTGAGCAGCATCGGATCGTCCCAGTTCCTCCTTGCTTACTTTTTCATGCCTTGGCTGGGATGAAGCCTAGGCCCAAAGAACACACGCCCCTCAAGTCCTCAAGTCAGTACAACCTCCCTCCCCCTTTTCCAGCAGAACTCTCCAAGCCACCAATGCGAAAGGATGCCTAGTGTGTCGGGAGCCTCTTCCGTCGGCCGGCTTTGTGGCGCCAGCTCTTCGAAGTCAGCCAGCCGCCCGCGCAAGCGCGCAGCCACCGACAGTTGCGCCAACGTGGCTTTCTGACCCTCCGTCACTTTGGGAGGGCGGTTCTTTCGGCTTTGCAAGGCTTCGGGGATCTTCACCTCGGATAACTCCTGCGCTCTCTCCAACAAGCTCGCCAGCTCCTCTTGAGGGGTCACCGGTCGTTCCGGCCGCTCGCCCTCGTCCACTAGGCCTCCATGGAGCTCCTCCAAGCGCTCCACGGTCTCCGCCAAGGCGGGCACCACGGCATCCACCAGGCCATCGGTGTCCGGGGGCTGAGAGCTCATGAGACCCCCCCTGCTGCCCCAAGAAGGCACCCAACGCGTCACATGAATCGCATCCAGCTGGATCAGCGACCAGTGAGAGTTGGGATATGTTTGGAGGTGGTGGAAGTTGCCAGATATGTCATACACAGTAAATATTGAATGTATTTGTTGTCTTATATGATGTTTAATGTTATTTACTTTTTGTGCACATATGCTGCAAACACTGCGCCCATCATGCTCCTCTCCAAGATGAACCGAGCCTCACATTGTAGCATTCTATGGACCAAAGACAAGTTGGATGCCACCCCACCCTCTGCGTTGACAATGTCTTTTTTCCAAGTGATCTGCAAGCATTTGCCAGCAAGAGAAGCGCGCTCACAAAGCCTGCAAGCCTGCAAGCGGGAAAGTGAAGGACGAGCAAGCACACAATGTCATCGGCCTTGTGTATGTGTATTGAAAGTGCCCCAGCAATCACGAAAGTGTTTGGGGTGTAAGGGAATGCGGCGCTTGAGCCAGTTCTGCCAAAGTCTTTCACTGGTCAAGTCATTTCCATGCCGTGTTTTTTTTGCACCCCACAAGCTGCCAAACAGCAGCAAAAAAGTCCCAATACAAGTTGTCTTGAAGGAAGGTGAGAGAGTCTGCGTATCAAGAACGTGAGCACCAATGATCTGTGTGCTGGTGAGCTGTACGATACTACTCAGTTTCTGTAATCGGAGTGCTGGTGACCGTCATCATCATGGTAGAACTTTAATCGCGATGAAGAATTGTTTTTGGGTCAGTGAGCGAAGGAGGAGCAAAGAAGGATGAGGCGGTAGTGCTCAGGGGCCCACAGTGATGTGGAGAACCAAACAGCTTTATATATACAGTATATATACACCAAAAAGGGCTGAAGCTATCAATTCAACAAAATATGCTGGAATCACAATTTGCTTCCAATGACCACGTGACCCACAAAAACAGATCCAGATTGGGGGAGAATGCGCCTGTGAAACAGCTTCAACATATCCCAAAACCAGCCTTCATGAGCCTGACGCATCTTCAGAGCCTTCATCACCTGCGGATCCTGCAGAAGGAGTGTGCTCACATCACCGAATGTAGGCTGTTGATGAAAAAGTGATGTGAACCTCAAGGGGGATTGAACCATGTCCAAAGCAATAATCATCCTGCCCTGCAAATGATTACAATTATTTAGGGGTGGATATACAGTAGGCGTTCTGGTAAGGCCGAGTTGCCATTCATCACTCTCATCACTCTCATCACTCATTCCCACATCCCAAGAAATGCCCCCCCAAAACTTGCAAACGCCGCCCTGACCCGGGTGAACTTGCTTGGACCCCGAGCCGATTTCTCGGCCTTGTGATCTGGCCTGGAGTAGGGCCGGTGTCTCGCCGCCGGACCATGTCTCCACGCGTCGGTAGGCCAATTGATCGAAGTTGAGCTTCGAGATCTTATGGCGGTTCTATCTCAAGCTACAATGTCTGATAGGCCATCTGACCATTGATAGGCCATCGAAGTTTCATGCGTTCTCTATCCTTTTTGGCGCCTTCTGACCCCCTTGCATGTGTTGGACCTTTCTTGTTTTGAGATGCGCACTAGTCATGATGGCCCTCCAAATAGGCAAGCGATTAGTAATCAGGGCACTCTATGACATTTGGCCACTTGCGGATGTTGATGGGTGTTGCCACGACATACAACGACTATAAATAGTGGATGACAAAAAATACGGGAGTTTCGCAGGGTCCCGAGTCCCCGTGGGGCTACGGGTCAAGAACCCCCTCTCGCATCACGGAAGAGTCGACATGGTGCCCCGAGGTTCCATGGTGCCCCGAGGTCCTTTGGACCTACATCCAACATCATCCAACCATTGGAACTGCCCCTCCGATCGATCCAATGACTTCGACACCACGCGATGGTTTGCTCTCCTCTGAGGCCCCGCGCGCTCCCCCTTCGATCTCGGGGTGCCCGATCTTTGGGTGCCGCACCCCCTGCGGACCAGCTCGCATGCAGCTCGCAGCACGCAGGTCTCTTCACGCTATGTCATGAAAACACCTGGTATACGGCGCTTAAGCCCCGGACCACTGTACTTGCTCCAGGCGTCCATGCAATGACTTAGCCGGGCGTGTTCAGTCGTGAGATGATGTCATCAATGAAGAGACAATGCCATGTCGTGCTTGAACATCAAACCTTCCAGGACTACTCAAGCACACCCAATGCAGCACCTCATTAGCTGCTCTTTTTGGCGCCGCACTTTGTCAGCTGCCACGGTGCAACCAGGTTTTAGAATCAATGGGAGTGAGAAGAAGACTGAACGTCCAAGGTCCATCGCTGGGATTCACCATAAACTGGCTTGCCTAGGACCAGGTGCAAGGACGATGACATGTCTCTTGTGCAAGTTCGGCCCTCTACGCCCTACTGGGGGGACCCACTCTACCACCCACCCTATGTTGCCGTGGGTCAAAACCTGGGCACCCTGGTTGACCCCGGATCAGTTCTGAACCGATTCCTCGATGTTCGGATTTGGTCCACCGAGCTCCGGGGACTGGTGGGGAGGTGCCATGACGACGAGTTGCTGTTGCCCAAAGCTTGGACCCACCTTCACCAACTCCACCAACGCCACAATGCGCTGTATCCAAATGAACATGTATTGGCCTTGACTGTAGGTTGGCCTGGTGAGGCAGCAAATGTCTATGGGAGGTATTTTCCAACTCTTCCATGCTGTACCTCGACGCAGACAATTGAGCTCCTTTCGTCATCGCTGGCCGCTGCTTGGCCTTCCCATCTCGAGGATCATCCACCTCTGCTGCAGCGTCATCGCAGGAGTACTCGAGCAACAAGCCTTCACCGCTGCTCGCCGTGAAAGCTGCCCACTGCACATCGGCCTTCCCACCATTCTCACTGGGCACAATGTACTGCACGTGGGATGCATCAACATCGCGGCAATGAACGGTCCAATCAGATCCTAGAGTGCAAGGCGGCGCAAAACAATGAGATTCTTAACTTGCTCTGCCCCCACAAACTGGCTCCAGCCACCTGCATCCTTCACAATTCAAGAAGAGACGGTCTCCAAAGAAAAACATGACACTTGAAATCACTTGAAGCTCCATTCCCCCCATGCAAATACTTCACATTGTTCTGTCTTTTTAATGGATGCCGTACTTTTCATTATCCTGACCATGGGGCGCAGGTTTGGGCATGATAGTCCTTGTATTCGCACATCGTCATGTACCCTGTGCTACGGTCTTGCAGTTTGCTGGTCGAATCTAGTTGTTCGTCTTTTCACGACCAGTTTGATTTGTGATTCATGTGTGGATGCTTTGAAAAATACCATTTGCGGTGAAGAATACCGTTGGATTTGCCTGGGCAAATCCAACTGTAAAAATACATATATATATATAATATCCATCTAAAAACACGGCCTGGTTGCGGTAAAACATGATCTTGGCATTCATCCATGGGGAAAAGGCACGGCATGTCAGTCGCGGGCGTAAACGAGAGAATCCTTTTTGAAGAACCAGAGAATCCTCATTGTTTAGCATAGGCGCCCTTTTGTTCTAGCTATTCTCTACCTTCCTTTGGAGCAAAAGGCTCTGAACCAGCGTAAATCTAAGCCTAGCAGCTACTCATCCGGTTCATTCAAGTAAAAGAATACGTCCATCACCCAAAGCAGGGGCTTTGTTCCATATCAATATCACCGCACATTCGTTCCGCCCCCTGGCGGTTTTCCGTCTTTCCCGACACACCCATGCCAGGCCACCGGCTTTGCGGTCTGGATAGGACTCCTGTGGCCCATAGCCCAGCCAGGTGAGTTGACCGAAGCGGTTCGGCAAAGCGAAGCGAAGCCCCACACGCGGCAAGCTGGCCAGCTTGGCCTCGCAGCGGCTCAGTTGAACCGGAAGTGGGGGGGGACATGACAGGTGTTTCATACAAGTCCTGCATACAAGCGAAAGGTCATACAGTCATTCTGGTGTGAAAATCATTTGGGCAAGCTTGAGGTATAATATATATATATATATACAGTATCAGTACACGTGCTTGATTGGGCACTGTAGCTATCCCAGGAGGGTCAACTCGTGAGTCGGAACATGACATCGACACAGGGGGTTGAAAATCAAACCTTCCCTGGAGACCTTCCGTTCCTGGGTCACATCTGTGGTTGCTGGAGCTCAAGTAGCTCAAACAGGAAGCAACCGGGCGATCTGCTCACATCATATCTGCTTTCTTCGACCAAAAGAGGTCCGAGTCCAGGAGGTCAAGAAGAAGTTCTGTGAAAGAGCTCAACGACACCGGTCTGTTCGGCTCAACGACAGTTATTGATTTAATTAAGTCTGGGCAGGACCTCCGGTGAGTTTCTAGAAGAACCGAGCAGCTACTGCAGAGCGTTGGCTTGCAAGTGTCACACGAACAGAGAGACGGATGTCCTCTAGCAAACTGCACTTGGAAACAAAAAGACTTCACATCACATGAGGCAAAATTTGATACAGTAATTGCTTCACACCACATGCCTTCACACCACATGTTTGGTCGCTCCAAACAACTTCACATCATATGTTGCATGAGCACATTGAGCAGAACTGTTACCCGGTAAGCCGTGCCCCCTGACCTCCCGGAAGAGATGTCCTCAGCTGTGAACGTGTATTCGCTCTTCACTCTGAAGCAATCGCCGCCCTCTGCAGAGAAGACTTCCACAATCGACAGTTGCGCCCCGGTCCACTCACCTGGGGAGCGCTGAACAGGCAGCCGGTGAGGTCTTCAGCGAGAAAAGACCGCGGTCGCGCACGAGGTCTTGGGCGGACCAAGCCAAGGAACTGTGCTCAACGAACGAGTGCAAGCCATCCAAACCGACTAACTTCCACCTAAACCGCCGCGGGCACACTGGGACACCCTGGAATGTTTCAGAAAGCAGCATTAACTTGTGTCTCAGGTTGAGGCGATGCATTCAAGGATAAATAGCCCAGCATGTCCAAGATATGGCTGACAAATGGAACCTGCAACTAAAACCACCGATATCCGGAAGTGGGTGCCCCCCTGATCCAACATGTCAAATGATGTCAATTGAAAGGCTTCAAACAATCAGGATGGGAACCAATCCTCGCCTTGGCGAGCCAGGGAACGAAGAAATCCACGCCACAGCGATCATTGTCCTCGGGTGTTGGTTCTGTTTTCATACGGGGTGGGGTGGGTACTTTTGTGGTCGGGCATGAAAAAAACAAGCCAAGTACTTCTTCAATGCCACTACTATGAACAACACTGCCCCACTACAACTGGCCATGAGCCTCCGTTCAACCTAGTCTTGCGCCTACTTGGCTATTGGCCGCCGGGCCGCCAGTACTTGTTGGCACCACAAAAATTGCAGCCGCCAGGTTCAAGTTTGCCAAAGAAACAACTTCTTGTGCAGATTCAAGTTCTTTGAAATGCTCGCTAGAATTGTGTTCCTTTAAAGTACAGCTCGATCGAACTGGAATTGGCCGGAGCTGACTGCATTGCACCTGCCAAAGAAACCTGAATGTCAACCCTCAAAACACTTGGAATGTCCTCTGTTACTGTGCAAAACCCTGTCTAAAGAATGGGCGCGGCACAAGAGCACACTGGCCAAACCAAACTTCTTAAGTGAGCGATGTTGCAAATATTTTTTGCGCGAGGGGAGGTAGGTCACTTAAAACGGCACTGTGGAAAGGACTAAGGACGAAAGAACCAAAACATGCCCAAGTTTAAAGCGGCTTAAAGCAAATCCCAGGCTCGATGGTTGCTCTGGAAAAGCAAGCTCGGAGTCCACCGGATAGGAGTTGCACTCCACTTGAACTCTTGAGTGACACCCTCAGTTTCGGGAAACGTTCAGGCACGATTGAATGCTTCCCCGACCTCAAGCTAAACATGTCTGGAAACTTGTCACATTTCTATATGGATTCTATGGATTCTAATGATGAGAACACCGCGAAGTGTGTTGGATACTTCATCCTCCCCTTTCTCTCGATTTCTTTTGCATTACTGCCTGGTAAAAATGTGACGAGTCGTGGGTCCAAATAGCGCTTTTGGGGGCGCAGATGTGCAGCCATACCAGGAAATCTAAATGGAACTGAAACACGTTTTTTCTGGTCCTCCTTAGGTCCTTCCTGAGTTACGCCAGTGGTTGAGGTTGATTGATTAATAACAACACGTCCGCCGGCTTTGATGGGTGCTCTAAAAGCGGATCAGGAAGTCTCACACAACATCAACCACCCCCCCCAAAATTAGACAACCATGAACAGATATGAAAAGGGACAGAAAGTCATCTCTTTCTTTCCTTCTGTCATTCTTCTTTCTCTTCTTTCTGTCTCTGCAGTTCTCCGCCACCATTCCACCTCTTCCGCCCAGGTGCCTGGCATTCACCACCTCCGCCCGGTAGTTCGGCGCCGTGACCACGGTGCCCTGAGCCTCGTTGTGCTCCACCACCGCAGCACCCGGGAGAGAGAGGGACTTCTTGGGAGCTGCGAGACCTGGTCAAGGAGTCAAGGCTGAAACATCAGGACATGTATTGACCCAAATAGAAAAGTTTTGAACACCCCCTGCAAATCTAAGTCTTCAGGAGACATAGTTATATAATCATCTACATAAGCTTTGGGGAGCAAAAGTGAGACACTTCGCATCACATCCCATTTACTCAAACATGCTCAGACACAGCGGCCCCACTGAATTCTACAAAACCAACGGCCAGAATAAAAAAGGCCCCACCTCTGCAAACAACATGTGATGTTCCCGACTTCACCGTAGGCAAACGCATGGTGAAGCAGCAATCAGCCACAACAAACCTCGAGTTCCAACGGGCTGAGGTGATCCTCTCACTGTATGGGCCGAGGTCACTGAGGTTCGGGCCCCGCGTCGATTCCCTTGGAGCTCTCACACTGCTTGGCTTCAAGGAGCACCCAAAGCCCAAACTCACCAACTCCTGCAAAAAAAGGCCATGTTTACCAGGATTCTTTGCGCGATGATTATGTGCATGCTGGCCCCAGCTTCGTCATTTCAACGGCCTCGGACTCCTAGACCGGACCGACTCAAGAATCCAAGAGCACCTCCAAACACCCAAACACATCACATGCAAGGCCTTCAGGTGGCTGCGAGACCTGAACTCTGA